AGCCCAGATTCGATTGCTTTCACGCTTAACCCGAAACCCCATACTGAGCCTAAAGCCCCCCGCAACCCCGGAAACTCTTGAACGCCTAGGACTCTACAACTTGAAACCTCTCAGCCCCGACGAGGTGCAGCCCTTATGGTAGCCCTCTTAGTAACCCTTATAGCAGCCCTTGTAGTCACCCAGGTGCAGCCCTTATCGTAACCCTTATGGCAACCCTTATGGCAACCCAAATAGCAGCCCTTGTAGTCCCCCCAGGTGCAGCAGTACCTCATTGCTTATCAGTGGCCCTCCTGCGTGGAGTCGGTGGCCTCCCAAGGCCCCGCTACTTCGGATTCTGCCCTTCTCAGCCCAGGGCTCCCAGAAGAGTATGGGGCTTTGGGTTTAGGGTTTAGGGTTTAGGGGTTTAGGGTTTAGGGGTTTAGGGTTTAGGGTTTAGGGTTTCGGCTTCGGTTTAGGGTTTGGGTCTCGGTTTGGGGTTTAGGGCTTCGGTTTTAGGGTTTAGGGTTTAGTAGTACTAGAACTATAGTAACAGTAGTAGTCGTGCTCTCCTAGATGATACGGTTTTGTAAGCTCCTCCTGGAGAGCCCTTCTTTGTAGTGGTCATCAAAGAATCTACCTTAAGCCATGCAACTATGGACCCGTGTTAGTTGAAGGTAGTCGAATCAGATGGAAGCCTGAATCACCACCTAGCCTACATAGTTCCTAGGGTTCCTCCTTGTTGTAGTTATCCAGTTGCATACCCCCCCTTCCCCCCTCAAACAAAGAAACAGCTCTTCGCAGGATTCAGGCCACTATATTGGGGTCCTTGCGCCACTTGTATGCGTCGCCTGAGTAGTGCAACAAGGAGTGGCGGCATGAATCTCCCCCGGCTCTGGGCTTTCGCCAGGAGAGCTGGTGCCCAAGTAAGCTAACACACAGTCCTGAACAGTCACCATTCTTATCCCCTAGACTTCCTTGTTACAAAAAGACAGCTCAGTCTACGCAATTCTTCGAGCCCCTAGAGTAGTCTCTACAGTGTAAACCCTGACACCCGGATTATCGCTCCCTTCCAGCAATCCTTGAAAGGAACCCTTGAAGGAAATCTTACAACTATGAAGGTCCCTATACCCTATCCTAAACTCTAAACCCTAAACCCTAAACCCTAACCCCACTGGGCCCTAGTGGCCCTTTCGTCTGGGGACTAGTCTTGCAGTGGGACAAAGGAGTTCAAAAAACAAAAAGCCTAACCCTAAGAACCCAGAGAGGCGCCAAGCAGCCGTCTGCCACGGGCTGGGCCCTCGGTGCGTTGAGGCTTCTCTGAAAGGCTGCGCGGAAAGGGAATCTTCATGTTTGGGGTTTAGGGTACATATATATATATATATTCATTATATTCTATTTTATTAGATCACTTTAGCTTATGTTGTATTACATTATCTTATATTGTGCTATGTTATATTATATTATACCAAATTGTCTTATGTGCTACTGTATGAGGCAGTGTTGGCGAGGTTCCGCTGTTTTTCGAGCCTTGTTTGGTCGAAGCATTCGTCGGATCTCTCGGGCTTTGAGAGCACAGGGGCATGAAGGTCTTTCAACGGTTTGGGGTGTGGGGTTTAGGGAAGCTGAACATGAGCTCTTTCAACTGCTTTCCGACAGCCCACGCACGAAACTCTCAGATAGTCACGTCCCGAACTCAAGAAAGAAATGCTGCTAGGTTGCCGGTCTGGTCGTGTATACATGATATTCATCAGGCAGCGAGTCCTGCTTTTCCACACCAAGCAGGCAGGATTGGCAGAGTTCAACTGCTATGTCGGCTGGGGGGAAGCAACGGGGTTGTGAGCATGAGGGTTAAGTGCATAGGGGCGTAGGTTGAGGAACCGGTCCCGGCTCTTATTCTTCTTCTGTTCGTTTGGACTTTGCTGGCGCGTTCCGACTGACCACAGTCCAACTTTCCCCTGCAACTCTGGGATAATTACCAGGACTTTCCGGGTGCCCTCAAATAGGGGTAGATGTTCCCTAATAAAATGGGTGGGGCACGGCAGGACTTTCCAGCGAAACCTATTGAATGACCTCAGGACGGGAAAGCAAGACCGAGCCTAAACTCAACATCCCCGAAAAACTGCAAACTTTCCTAAACCGCCTAAACCCTGAAACTCCGAAGCCCTAAAAAAAACCCTACATCCACTTAGATCCCTTATAGATCCCTTCGAAGGAACCCGTATAAAGCCCCTAAAAAAACCCAAGAACCCCTGACTCAACATCCGAGTCGTCTTCCCCTATAATCTCTTCTTTAAGGAACGCTTTAAGGAATCCTCTATTTAGGGTTCAGGGTCTTCGGGTTCAGGGTTTCAGGTTTATGTAGGGTTTGGGGTTTTAGGGTGTAGGGTTTAGAGTTTAAGGAACCCGTCAAGGGCCCTCAAGGAATCCGATTCATTTTTCAGCAGCCGCGAGCTCGCACCGCGCGAGGTGCAAGCAGCCGACGACACCGCCGAGTACGCCCGGGCCGAAGGCATGGGCTTGGGGTTTGGGGCTTAGGGTTTAGGATTTAGGGCTTAGGTTTGAGGGCAATATAGGGTCTTTGTAAGAACCAACAAGTAGCAAGAACTCCCTTCTCTAGGCCCTCCTCGTATCATACAGTGCAAGTATAAGTATAAGTCCTATGTTCAAGATACCCCGCCCCGTAATGATGTGCTGTGGCTGGGGGTTTCCGACTGCATATGTGGGACTCGCCCAGGCTATTTGCTGTAGGAGTTTAGGGGGGTTTGCGGAAAAGCCCGGTGCAGACTGGATACTTGTAGCCAGCGCAAAACCTACAAAAAGTATTTACATGGTTGTTGCAACTACTTGGGCTCTTGTTGCTGCTAGCTGTTGTCCTTGCGAGCGTGGTCCCACATCCTCTGGTCGTCGGGGTGGGGTTGTCGATGGTGCGGATGTGTTTGTGCAAGTTGATAACTGATATGGCTGATTGGTGGGGTTTGTGGGCCGGTTCGAGGGTTGGAATTTCAATCGGGTGGGTGCGTAAGTTTATTTGCAGTCCAGTGCTTGCCTCACTTCTGTACCTACCGCGTTTCAATTGATTCCGTGTTTTCGGAGCTTCGGCCTTGGCAGCAATCGCACTGCTGCAAGAGCATCCACAATACCCCACCACAATTCAGAAAGTCCATTCCCCTTTGTCTTGCGTGGCCGCAAAGGAAGGACGCTCATTGCTCTACATGGTACTTACTCGTGCATCCAGTTCATCCTGGGCTTCGAACAGAGTCCATCCGAATGGCTTCACGAAGATTCACGAAGTATGGATGTTAGATCAACCCTAAACCTTAAGCCCTAAACCCTAAAACCAAAGCCTGAAATAAACCTTCAACCCTAAGACAGATCTGTCTCCACGAATATTTCCTCATCTCGGAGACTCTTGGGCCACTCTAGAGCTCTAAGGACTCCACTCGTTTAGGGTTTAGGGTTCACGGTTTAGGGTTCAGGGTTTAGGGTTCAGCGTTTAGGCTGAGTTCTGGAAGCCCCAGAATCCCAAAGACCTCCATGGACAGGCAGGCTGCCAAAGCCCAGGCCAGAGTCTTCGTGTTTTGGGAGTCTTCGAAGGCATGTCCAAGACAGAAACCTTGAATGACTATCAACATTGTTCCTGAGCATTGCTCAATTAATGTACACGTACCATAATTTACTTCAAGACCCTGTTCGAAGTATTGAGGTGATAGATTTTATGGCTTGGGTTCGTGATTGGGGGATAGGGTCTAGGCTCAGTGTTTACTTGCGTCCAAGAGGTTGTTCGGATGCGGCAGTTGTTGTTAGGTTTCCGCAGCTTTTCGGCACGTCAAGGATTTATCTTCCAGACATCCTGTGCGTTTTGCAGAAGTGTGAAATAAGTCTGCGTTGACAGTGGAGACATGGGGAGGAAAATACGGCTGTCGTGTTTCTATTTTGGCCGCACCTAAACCCTACTCCCCCAAGTCTGAAAAGTCTAGACGGTACTTGGAGCCGTGAGCCCTCGAAAAGGTGGGGCCTGCCAGGATTCCAGTTCCGTATTTTTTCATATACACACATATATGTATATATTTACATACATACATACATACATACATACATACATACATACATATATACATACATACATGCGTATTTACATGAATGTATACATATATATATATATATATGTATGTATGTATGTATGTATGTATGTATGTATGTATGTATGTATGTATATATATATATGTACACTACCAAATATCTATGTCCGGGATTTGGATGTGCGTTCGAAGCCTCCGTGTGGCTTATATGCCTAGCCGTAAAGCGGAGGCACCTTGCTTGGATGGATGGTGCCTACCTCAGAGCGCGAGACAACGCAACTGAGTGTTTCGGATTAGTCGATGACACGCTCTCAACAAGTACCTAAACTATGTTGTCCCTTCGTCCGCAAAGCCTTGCTCGAACCGCGGCCCTCGTCACCGAATCTCGTAGATTCGAAGATCGGCGGCAGAACCTAGTAGATTCACCTCAGAGACAGCTGCCACTTCAGAGAAGCACAGTCATTCCAAATGTTAGTTGCCACAACGCTCGCAGAGCTGTAGTAGCTAAATTCGACAGAGTACAAAACTCCAAAGCAGTAGCGACAGCAGTGGTCGTCGTCGTAGCTCGTTGGCAGAATACAGTTCTCATGTACATAGCGGTCGCATGATCAAGTTCATCGCCGGCAACCACAATCGCTCATATTCATGGTGCTCATAACCCTAAACCCTAAACCCTACATACCGTGCTGGAATCGCCTCCAGAATTCCTACGATGTGCTGCGTTGCGGCTCAAGGTTTTAAGGCGGGGGCCGAGGCCCTGGGCCGATGGCGGGGTTGTCTGAATTAGGGTCCCTTCTAGGATCCTGTTTAAAAAATTAGGGTTTAGGGTGTAAAATGGGTAATTCTCTAAATTAGGGTCCCTCTTATTGGGGCCCTGTTGATAAGGGTGCCGTACTAGTTTGGGGGATCCAAGAAAGGAGCCTAATTTTAGAGAACTCCCCGATGGTCAGTTGGGAAGTTCCCGACTTTGCAGAGGCCTTGGTCTTGGGCGTGTCTTCCTTCCGAGGCCCAGGCTGGCGGGGGCCCTTAAGGAAGGAAAGAACCCTAAGAAGGGTGTAAGGTTCATCTATACCCTATAGGGATTCACAACATAAGGGTATAGGGCCCCTACTTAAATGGGTCATGTGGTCCCCAAAAGGCTGGAGAGCTTTGAGAAATGCCGGCGGGGAAGCCGATCGCTTGGCAGAGCAGTTTCAACACTTGGGCTGCAGGAACGTGCTGAGGCCCCCAGAAGCAGAATTGACAGGAAACGGCATTCACAAGCATCTCAAGGCCTTCGTACACCGAGTTACCGATGCAGTCGGCTCCTGCCCGGAAGAGCAGCAGCTCCTGGTCACCTGTGCCATACTCTCGCATGGCTTGGGAAGAGACGGCCTCACCCTTCCGGAGATTGCCGGCTCCGACTCCCTGGGCCCCGAAGATCGCCAGTCGCATGCAGTCCTTGACGAAGTTCCTAGGTGGCACTTTGCAAAGCTGTTAAAGTTTCCCTTTTTATGGCCTTATGGAAGTACCCATTCATATATGCTTTCGGGGCCTCCAAAACTACGACCCAGGTTCTCTTGAAGGAGTTGAACCGAGTGGATCTGGCTGGGAGGTGTAAGCGCCTGAAGGTCTGGTTGATTTTGGACTGCTGCCGCGAGGATGCCGGCAATGACCTCTGGCATCAGGAGCCTTGGGCGTTCCTTCAATGCGGTTGTTGAGTGCACCGTAGCAGTCTGAATGTCCCCTTGCTGCTACTAGGGGCCTTAATAATTAGAATAGGGTTTTGGGGCCCATTATGCTGTAATTATGATAAGGAACCCCAAACAGGATAGCTAATTATTTAGGCCCCTATACATTGGTGCCAAGAATATAGACATTGCCTTGCACTCTGGCCCAAAAGGGGACCTGGGACGTTCGGGCAACTGCGTCATCTTCTATAGGGCTTTGAACTTGCAGACGCTGTACCAGTACCATCTGTCCCTTCAGGAGCATTTTCGTCTGCTGAATCCCCGTGGGTGCCCCGACGACGTCTCCAGGTTTCACAGCACTCGGGGACCCGGGAAGGAGCAATTGCTGAAGATGCTGTCGAAGTCCAGCGTGGATTTCATGTTGTTTCTTGGCTGTGATCCTGGGAGGATCGCGGACGACGACTGTAGCTGCACCTCAGCACTTCTCCCTCAGCTGAAAGCGGATGTTGTCAAAATACAGGAGGCATGCGAGAACGCGGCTGACCAGGTAGAGAAGCTGTCCGGAGGAAAAGTTCGCCCCTGGATACAAAGTCGAGGGAATTTCCGTTACGTTGCTTTGCAGAGAAACTCCACACGTCCAACAGAAGGCGACACTAGGCTTGGCCATTACCCTACTCTCCTGGGACAGGCTGAAGATGCGACGCAGCTGAAGATGACTCCACCGCACCATCACTCTGATTCACACCGCCAAGGTACAATTTTCCGCACCTTTTACATTCCGTGTGTTTGGGTGTTCTGTCTTGCCTTTCACCTGGCTACGTACATATCCTGGTTTCGAGGAAGCTGCCCAGTCCAGTGCAACTCTCGTTGCACTGTGCCGCCAGCTTGGATATCGTTCTGCTGGGCAGCTTTCACTAGACCCAAGCAGGAGCCAATCCCGGAACTTTGCAGCAACAGCTGTGCGAGAAGCTTATCTTTGCATTGGACATCCATAGAAAGCGTGCACCTCCGCTATGTTTATCCATGCTTCCACATCATACAGGCCATCGGCGAAGTGACCCAGGAGAGTGATCATCTTGGTGCCTGTGTGTCGCTTGCCCTTGCTCTCTTCTGGATCCTGTTGTGCCAAGCTTGTGATGTGGTGCTGCCCGTTCTTGAGCAGTGGCGTGAAAGCTCTTCTGAGGACGACGTGAAGAGGTGTTCCGCGGTGTGGAGGTGGCTGTTCTGTGCGTCGTTCTGCAACTCGATCTACTCCTTCCGGCTTCTTCTGGGAGGCTCCGATGCTGACTTCAGAATGGTGGAAGTTCAGTTTCATCTCATTATGTTTTTCTTCGCGCTTGGAGTAGTCTTCACTTTTGTCCATTGCTGCAACCTCGAGAAGATCCTGCAGTCACCGACCATGTGCCTGTGGCAGTTCATGCTCTTACTGACGATCGTGTGGATCATCTGCCACGGTGCCGTGAAGGACGGGATGGCGACAGCCAAGACAGCTTTCAACTTTGGCCTCCTTCTCGAGCATGTCTTGCTGATGCTGTCATCAGCTCTGGTGATGATCGTTGTTCACCGCCAGGGAACAGAGCGTAAGGCCGCAGGGCTGGTCTGACGATGCTGCCCGAGGATGCCTCTCCAGCAGCAATTTAATCACAGATGGCAAGCAAAGCAGGCCATTCAGAGCACCGGGGCTCAGAATGACGGTTCAGGGCTGTGTACGCAGGCATGAAACACACGTGGTCGAGTTCTGCATCCATGATCCAACGTTGCGTATTCCCCGCGCCGGAACCTGTAACTGGATTGCTTTGCCTGCTGCCCAACCGGGATCACCAAGCCTCTCCGCCTGCAAGCACCCTCACCCTCACTCGGCTTTAACTTCAGGTTCCTTATGACAGTCCCTTAAGGTCCTTCATAGTAGTCCTCATACCCCCTTCCCCCAGTCCCTACTCAGAACCAGGGAGTCATTTTTATCAGCTTCACGGTGAGGGTGAAAACGCAGCATGGAACAAGTTGCCGGTACCGTCGGTGCGTGCAATGAGAGGCTTGATGACCCTAAAACTCAAAAGCCCCTGAGCCCGACATTATAATCCTTAGGATCGCTATAATCCTATACAATCCCGATAACTCGTCCGGGCGTCCTATAATTCCTTTAATTTATTAACCCTATAACAGTTTAGGGTTTAAGGTTTAGGGTTTAGGGTTATGTAATCCCCAACATCCCTACAATCCCTATACAAACCCCACGACCCTTGGAGCACTCGAGGCCGAGGCTACCCCGTGCTCCACGCCGCAGCGCTTTCCGCGGGCCAGGGAGGCCCTAGGGTTTGCGCACGGAGAGCTGAGAGGAGAGTGGGGCTTTGTTCTTTAGGGTTCGGGAGTTAGGGTTTTCAATCTTATTTAGAGAAGAGTACCTGCACCACAAAAAGTAAGTATGTAGAACGATAGCTTTTTTATTGGTGCTGGGCCATGATTTTACGTACTTGCGGGTTGAAGTAGGGCTTTGTTCTTTCAGGCTTCTGAAAGGGGGTTCGGGTTGAGGCTTTGGGGTTCAGGGCTTTGCTTAAGATGAAATCTTCAAGATTCACGACCATGATTCTTGCATAGGGGCTCCTTAATACAAGTTACACTACAATGAACTCGAAACCCCGTAATCCTATGGGGGAGTGAAAAAGTTCCTCATACATTGCAGGTTCCAACAGTTATAGCAGGGTTGTATAACTTGTATAGGGCTCAGGGTACTACATATGTGTTGGGCCGCTTGCCACGACAAGCTGCAAACTCGTTGCAGCCTTTGCGCAGATCCTAAATTCGCAACTGTGTATACCGTTAATGCTTACCATACCCTCTGTAGCCCGAAACCCTAAACCCTATGAACCCTGAACCCTAAACCTCACAGCAGATAGCCGGATGCCCCAGGCGCAGGGTTCCGTTCCCTTCGAGTCGTTACCAGCGCAGATCTCCTCACCCTCCACGGAGGCACTGCCGGGGTTTAGGGTGTTCTTTGGTTTAGGGCGGCTTTAGTTTGGTGGAGTTTGGGGGTTTGGTCCGCTTGATTTGGGGATTTCAGGTTGAGGTCTTCTTGCCGAGAGGAACTTGATTGGTGTCGGCGGAAGGGCCAAGGAAAGCGTTTCATTCTTGGACCTAAGCTGACAGAGTTCAGAAGGGCCATGCAGACTTGGTTTGCCCACACCCATACTAATGATTACTAGTGTTGTCATTATTATTATTGTTATTATTACATTACCGTAATTATTGTTATCATAAGAATACAAACAGTCACACCCTTGAAGACGAAATGCCGCGCAGGTCGTCTACTCAGAGAGGGTGCCAGCACGACCGTCGTTGCCAGCCACCCCCGAGGCATCCTCGCGGCACAGGAAAGCAGATGTAAAGCAGTTCCTAAGTGGGAGTTTCCGAAAATTAGGGGTACCTTATTTTGGGGTCCTTATATTAAGGATCCTATTACTTAGGGTACTATATTAGGGTCCCCTATATTCGGAAACCCCCAAGTAGTTTTTCTTCTTCTGGCAGGGCTACGACTCTTTTACGTACTTTTTGCGGAAGAATTCAGGAAGGCTCAGCGTGGTCTTGTGGGATCCGTGCCAGGGCCGAGAGCCCAGCGCCAGTCCTCCTCGCAGCCCTCCAGGCTTGTGGCATTCAGGGACTTTCTAGGTTGAGACGTCAGTTCGTGATCAGGGTCTCGAGAGTATTCGGTTTATGATGGTGCCTGGTGGCTGCGAAGATTACTAGGTCTATGTATACATACATGCTGCATCCTTGCACGTGAAGGCTTCCCCACATCGAATCCAAGCATCCCCAGCTCTGAAATACCCTCATCGCTGGGTTTGGCCAAGCTCAGTCTACTGGATTCTTGTTAATGGGTTCGATTTGAACTACCATAATAGGGAAACCATATTATTCACTATGGATCCCTACTATGGCAACATAAATTTATAAGTCCCTTAGGCTCTAGCCTGGACCCCGACAGTTCTTCATGTGCGTCTCCGGCAGCATGTGTCAAGTCATGGAGGCCGAGCACTGAGCCCAATACAAAGGCCTGCAACGGCACGTTATTGCGCATTATAGTACATGAAGGCATATTCTGGTATGTTTTGGAGCAAAGTATAGTCTATGACAGTATATTCTAATATATGTTATAAGTAATATAGAAGCCGAAATAATTACGAAGATTACTGCGGGTTCCTTATTGTAGTAATACGAGAAAGGAGCCCAAAACCCTATTCTACGTATTAAGGCCCCTACGCTATACTATAGTGTTCCTGAAGCTTCCCTGGTATATTTATCGGATCAATTCCCCCAAAGCCCTTGTCTTATGGCAGGCAGTGGAGTCCGGACGTCAAGGCCGAACGAGCTTGAACAAATCACCTCCCAAAGCTGCGAGTTGGTGACTTTTCTGGTGGGATGATCTGAATATGTAGAACCTAAACCCTCAGTCATATCTTCTGGAACGCCGGATTCGAAGAGCGCCACGAGTCCCGGGGTTCATTCACAAGTACTCATGAAGATCAGCTATCCTGGACCCTATACTTATACCAGAAGAGCCCGAAGAGAAACCTTCGAACAGTCTTATGCAGGGCCCGGTAGATACAAATTTGCCCAATCCGTGACAAGCGGGAGCAGAGCTGACAGAGAAGCTTCAACTTTTTAGTATTCTGTTCCTTAGGGTTCCTGACTATGTCAAGTCTAGTATACCCAGAAACATCCAGAAACCCTAGTCGAGCCATTCAGGCCCCTACATTGGGTCAAGCAGCCTTTCCCAGCAACCTGGCAAGGTCGGACCTAGCTGATTCCGCTTGCACGCAAGGCCGGGAAGCACTCCAATTTCCGGGAGTTAGGACACCACTGCAAGCGATAGGGCCCGGCACTGACGAAACGTGAAATCACGCACCGATTCTGCGGACAGCATCTCCTTGACAAAACCCTCCGCTGGGTCCGCCCGGGCCGTTTAAGGCGCCGGAGTCCTGCTTGACTTCCTCACGAGCCTGCTTTACACCATGAAGCGACCCTCGAAGGCCGGGGCGCCACAGTTTAGAGTTCAGGGTTTAGGGTGTTTTAAGGTTTTTAGGGCTTTTAGGGTTCGTAGGGTTTATTCGGGTTTACTAGGGTTTAGGCACTTCCTTCGCCATGACTTCTAAATCCTACTAGGGTTTAGAAGTCATGGCGAAGGAAGCGCCTTGCGATTCTAGCACCTATGGGCTCCATGGTAGTTGTTTTTGTGGTTTATATGTATTCCCAAAAGGAACTACAATGGAGACCGTACGCATGGCCTCTCTCTCTCTCTCGCACTATCTCACTCTCTTTATCGCTCCTTCTTCGGGCTAAGATTGTGTGCTTCACCCAAGCAATCCAGGGCATGAAAATGGGTAGTTCTCTAAGTTAGTGTCCCTTTGCAGATCCCGAACAAAGTACGGCACTCTGAAAGGGAGCCTAATCTAAAAAGCTACCTATACAGTACCCTTCTAGAAACCCTTAGAGGGAACCCAAAAGGGCTCTTAACTCAGAGAACTACCCAACTTCAACCCTTATAGAAACCTATAGGAGCACTTACAGATCCCTTTGAGGAGCCCTTAAAGGGACCCCTAATTTAGAGAACTACCAATGCCCATGTTTTATCATATAACTGACTTAAATCCGAAATCCTAAACCCTTATAGAAACCCTTATCGATCCCTTTAAGAAGGGCCCTAATTCAGAGAGCAACCCCCCTAAAAAGGCTCCTAATTTCGAGAACTACCCATATAGTTAGTACCCTTATAGAAGGTCCATAATGGAACCTTTAAAGAACCCAATAAGAACCCTAAAAGACCCTTAAAGGAACCCTAAACCCTAAACCCTCCTAACCCTAAACCCTAACCCTACAGCCGAAAGCCCAAACTATAAAGCCTGCACCCTAAACCCTAAACCCTAACCCCAAGCCCTAACCCTAAACCCTCAGCCCCAAACCCTAACCCTAGCGCCTAAACCCTAAACGTTAAACCTTACACCCAAAACCCTATAAACCCTATAAGCCCCGAACCCCTAAACCCTAAACCCTCCAAGCATTATAACCCCTAAACCCCATGAATCCCAATAAGCCCTAAACCCTAAACCCTAAAAACCCTAAAAACCCTATAGGCCCTAAAGCCCCAAAACCCTAAGCCGAGGCGGACCGGCCTCGGGCCTGGGAGGAGCCGAACAGCGAGGGCAGATCCGAGGCGCCCGCGGAGAGTCGCGGAGTTCTGAGTTCCAAGTCGAAGAGTCGTAGACTCTAGGGTTTAGGGTTTAGGGTCTATAGTATAGTATAGTATAGAGTATAGTAGGGTAGTATTTTGCAAGAGTAGTAGACTGTAGGGTTTAGAGTTTAGGGTTTAGGGGTTTAGAGTTTAGGTTTAGGGTTTAGGGGTTTAGAGTTTAGGTTTAGGGTTAGGGTTTAGGCTTTAGGGTTTAGGCTTCGGGGTTTGGGTTTAGGGTTTATAGTATGCTTTAGAGCATAGTAGAGTATTGTTTCGTATGGAGTAGACCACGGTATAGTTTACATTAGTTTAGCTTAAGTCTTGCATGTTATTCGTCTTGCTGGCCCAAGCTTAGAATCAGGATCCTACGTAGCGGTGTCTCAAGAATCAGGAACAGATGGTTGCATCAGAACCTTTACTAGATGTTACGAAACTACGGTTTGCATTCGCCGGTTTCACCGATGACTCGTGGTTGGAAACCGCCGACTTCCGTAGCGCACACCCTCAAACCGGAAGCAGATAGACCCCGAAGTGGATTCTGGGCTCAGGTACAACATCAGCTTATTTATGACCTATTCGTCAGCACGCCGCTGATCTCGACCATGTTCCTGCATCCTGGCTCATTACACTACACGGATTTTGGAGGCTCTTGCGCGATGCTACTCTGGTTCATGGCGGTATCTCAGGCTGCAGCACCTTTCCTGTATCTGAGGCTTGTTGACAAGGAGTCCGGCTCCGTGCCGCTTTTGACGGCCCTGTTGCAGCATGCAGCATCCTCAGATCAATATCGGCTGTGAGCTGCAGCAGTTCGGAGTTCAGGATGTGGCAGGCCCAGAGGCATTCCATATTCCAGCCCTAGAGCAGAAGCTCCAGCAGCATCTTGGAGAGTTCCTTGTCTGTAAAGGGGTGCCCTTACGACAGAACTCCGGGGGACCCCTTGCGGTGTGCATGCCTGATGGCCTTGCTTCTGCTGCAAGCAACACTTTGGGGGGCTGAAGGCCAGAGCATGCCGGTCTACAGATCTGGTCAAAGATTCTGCAGTACAGAGTGAAAGAAGACCAGTTTACCGGAAATCCGGCATCTAGGTGGCACAAAGCGAAGCAAAGCACTCGCAGTCTTGGGTGCAATGAGGAGGAGATAGCAAGGGAACTTCATCTGGTGACTCTAGGACTTTGATTGGCATTGCCCGGGCCATGCGGTTAATTACAGCAGAAGAAGGGTTGTAGTACCCGAGTACTTGCAGGGAAGCGTAGTCTTTCTCACAGCCTTGCTGTTACAAGAGTTGTAGCTGCGGCGCTACGGGGGGCGCAGCGGGCGCCGAAATGTTTGCACGGCTTGGCCTAGGCTGTCAATCGCGCGGATGCTGAGTTCGCAGGGCCCCTATGCAACGTTTCTTTTCCTTGCGGTTTGCTACAAGCCGTCCGATACAAAATCTGCAGATGCACACTGCATGGCGTCAGCCTCTACCAGCCCGAGCTCCGAACTTCCGAAACTGGCTCTTCAGAAACACCAAAAGTCAGACCTTCAGAAGAGCAATAAGGATGGAATGCATGTGCTTGGATTCGGGTGAGACAGGCTGCGTCAATCAAGACACAGGCGATTCTTGTCTTGAGCAGCTTTTGGCGGCAGATTGGTTGTCCCGGGGATGCCCTCTTGCAGCCTCCTCAGGTTTCCTAAAGATCGTTGGGCAATATCATGTTTGGAAAAGCTCACATGAACTAATTTCAGCAGTCTCATATGATGCCAGACAGAAGTTTGTTTGTTGACTGAAGGAATAAGTCAGCACCGCATTTCCGGTTTGCACACACGACGGCCAGCACCCGGCTGGACCAATGAGGAAACGACAAGCAGACTCATTGCCATTACTGATGTTTCTATGTAAAACCTAGCTGCAATTCACAGTATGCTGATCGCCATTCGGATTAGTGCTGCTGCTGTGATGTGTCCGGTAAGTAATTATCATCACTAGCTTTTCTACAGCCTGGTCTTAAACTTTCTAAGCTCTGTAGCTCGGATGACATCCGGTTGTCGAAGCTCCCTGCAGCTGCAGTTGAACAGTTGAGCCTGTAGCCCAAGACGAGCTGAAGAGCCCCGAAATACTTAAATTGCCCTATATCTCTATGTATATACATACATATACATATATATATATATACACATATTCATACGCATAGACGTATACACACATGTTATATATATATATATATGTGTATATATATATATATACAAATAAATATATACAAAACTTCTCGTTGTCCCTCCCAGCTTTGAGCCCGGGGCCCGAACCTCAAGGCCTGCACCCAGCATTTGATGAGGTCAGCCCCTCCCCTCCTCCCCCCGGGTCCTGACAATGAGGCCTTGGCCGTGGTGACCCGCTGCCTGCCACATGTCGGCCTGCTGTGCGCGAGCCTGAGAGATTTCTGGGACTGCCGTGCCAGTTAGGTGGCGGCACCAGCAGTCGAAGACGAGTTAGGCCAATGTGTCTTGGAGGATGAGCGGAGGGGCTCTTGCCTGCCCAAACCCTCAGCCCTAAACCCTAAACCTAAGGCCACTGCACATTAAACAACAAACCCTAAACCTCATTCCGGCTTGTGCTGATGAGGGCATAGGCATCAAAAAAAATTGATAAGCAAAAAAAAATTGATAAGCATCAAGAAAAAATTTGATAAGCATCAAAAAATATTTGTAGACAGAGTAGTAGCACTAGTAGTGGTAGTAGTAGTAGTAGTAGTAGTAGTAGTAGTAGTAATTTGCCCTCTGCGCCCAAGGCCTCGCCTGGTGCTCGAGTCCTGACAGGCTCCGGTCCTCTGGTCCGGTGGTCCGTGGTCCTGCGGTCCTCTGGTCCTCTGGTGCTGCGGTCCTCTGGTCCCGTGCCCTGGTCCTGTGGTCCTCTGGTTCC